ATCTGGAACATGGTCTCATATGTTATTGCCATTAACAATACCCACTACACCCTGCATTTAACTAACTTTCCTTCATGTTCTGCCAAACAAGGCTAAAATTTAAAGGAGGAAGACTCCTTGAGCACATCCATTGATAATAATATAATTATAATAATTAATGGAGATATCCCACCTCCTAGAACTGGAAGGGACCTTGAAAGTTCATTGAATCCAGCCCCCTGCCTTCACTAGCAGGACCAAATAGTGATTTTGCCCCAGATCCCCAAGTGGCCCCCTCAAGGATTGAACTCACAACCCTGGGTTTAGCAGGCCAATGCTCAAACCACTGAGCTATCCCTCCCCTGCAAAAGCCAACTGCAGTGCTTTCACTTGGGAAGAGAGGTGATCTCTGAGGTCAGCAAATCATAAAACATTTAGAGCTTTAGATGTCAAAATGAGCACCTCAGAGACAACCCAGAAAATTAACTGGCATCTAAGAGAGGCTACAGAGCAACTCTGTAATGAGCTCTCTGCGTGTTGCACCACATAATCAGTGTGTAGAAGTGTTTTGCACTAGGCTCTGCATGTTGCACTTCTGTCTAGGTTCTTATATGGCCCTAGTATCTCAGCATCTCTGTAGCATCTGAACTTCCAAGATGTTCAAGCACATTACTAGTCTTGTCTAGGGAAGATAAAAGTGTGGTTCAGTATGCCCAGGTCCACACTGGAGAGGAAAAGTGGCATTCTTCTTGCCATGTGCCAGTCAGTGCACATGTTCTGTTTTTATATTGTATCATGCTAAATAATGCCCGCTATTAATTTTTAATGGAAAATTAAAACTAAGTAATGAATGAGCCCAGTCCTAACTGGGTGACAGAGAAGTTATGCAAGGCTCCTGGATACCATCCTAGACTGCCGGCATTCCTTTCGTGTGGAATATGCAGAGATCAATGGAATTAACAAGTCTTTTTAAACAATGCTCCTAAAAATGCAAGGTCTGTTCATATCATCTGGCAGCACTGAAGGGTGAAAGAGTGTTTTTCCCCTGGCAAATCAAAGAGGGCTTCTTTACACTGTTATGACTCTAGCTTTCAACTTCAGTGTCTGGAGGGAGAACCTGTAATGGAAACAGCCAGCACAATATAGCGCTACTGGCTAGTGTGTGATTGGGAGGTTAGCCCACAAGGTATTTCATTGTTTTTTGGTTTCTGTTTAAAGCTTTATGAAGAGTGCGTGTGTGTGGTCACCAGCTGTGTTTCTGCCTTGCTACTGTTCCAGTGTTAATTACATCAAGGCATGTTTTAAGATCCATAGGGACTGCTCCTAGCCCGACCGTGAATTCTAGGGCTTTGACTAAAATATAATTTAAAAAAAGGAGAGTCTCTCTCTGAAGTAAAACTTGTCTCTCTCTTTTTAGTTTTTCTTCTGTTGCAGCCTTGTCATAGCTCAGATTTTGAAAACCTTCCTCTGAAAATCTTTATAGCTTGTGAAATTTATGGTCTGTGTCACACTGATACCTCCATACATACACTTTGGGTGTTAGCATGTGAAGTTGAACAGTTAGGGTATGTTTACATGATAGCAGCACAGCTAGAGTGCTGTAGCTGCGCTGCTGTAGTGTAGACACTTCCTGTATAGACAGAAGGGGTTTTTCCACCAATGTAGGTCCATCCACCTCAACAAGAAGCGACGGCTAGTTTGATGGAAGAATTCTTCCATTGACCTAGCTGCATCTATGGTGGAGATTAGGTCAATCTAACTACATCACACAGGGAATGACATTTTTCACAGCTCAGAGTATTGTAGTAAGGTCGAACTAAGTTTCAAGCGTAGTCCAGGCCTTAGTGCTTGGCAAGCCCAATGCCTGAGGGAATTGGGGAGCAGGGCTGCCTGAATGGGAGATAGGGCCTCCTGAGAGCTAATCTACTCTATTCCACGTCGAATCCAGCTTTGCCACTGGCTTGCCATGTCTAGCAATTCTCTAAACCTCTCTGGCTTTGACTTCTCTTCCCGCCCAATGAAAAGTATGTCATTTACATGGAGACAGCTATCTTGATGTAAAGTCCTAATGGAGACAAAGCACAAGTAACTTTTACCTCAGTGTAGCTAGTTGAGGTAAATTTCATATGGGGGAGCAGGATTAGCTACACTGAAGTAAAAATTACCTGTACCTTGTCTGCACTAAGATTTTACATCAAAATAGCTATCTCAATGAAAAAACAACAAAAAACATCTTTTTGCAGTGAGGCCATAGCTTCTCTGTTTCCCCATTGTGAAGTGGGAATTAGCGCCTCTCTCACAGGGGTGCTGAGAACTGACTGAGTGAAGTTAGTGCTGTTCTTTGCCAGGGCTGAGCATTATTATCCTGCAATGGATTCAATACCAATTCAGTGCATTTTACGGTCATGTTATGCTCATTCACATGATGGTAACATGATGCAATACACACATGCACACCCTCTTTTGGGTTTGTCTCGACTAGACCTAAGAGAAGGATTTTTTTTTTTTAAGAACACGTTAGCTAGCATACTCAAAATCTAGTGCAGACAAGGCAAGCTGTACTTTAGCAGGGGCTAAATGGATAAGTTGAAGCCTAAGCTTCCCTCTTAGCTTCAAATCAACCAGCTACCAGGTGTGGAAGTACAATTAGCCTTGCCTATCCCAGAGTTTTAGAAAGAACGTGGTAGCTAGCATATTCTGAAACACCTTTCACCTTAGTCTACATAAACCCTTATGGGTCAGGGGTGATCAGAGCTTGGCCAGTGACTGGTGAGTCAAGCAGTGAAGTTATAAGCAGTTCTGTGTTACCCAGAGGTAAGATTTGGGTATTCAGGTATCTAAGCTCATCGCATCTCTAATAATTTGTACATAATGATACACACCAAGACTTTACTGCCGCCATGCATTAAGGATTAATTGCTTGCAGGCATCATGGAAATTCAATTATTATAAGACAATTTCATAACTGGGACACAAGAGTCGATTAAGGACGTTTCCATGAGCTCAGAGATCAAAGCCAGTGTCCTTTCAGACTCACATGGCTGATCTCTAGTCCAATAGTCTTCCACCCCATCTGCGAGGAACTCATAGTGAGAACAGACTATACGAATAGAGATCTGCCAGACAGAGCTCTGAAAAGGCTTCTAACCTTAGACTTTCACTCAGATGACTGGCAGATAGACTGAGGTATCTAGTCAACAATATTCTGACTTCTAATATGCTACGGTTCTTGCAGGTAGTACCACATTCCCAGCGACTCCTGCAAAGTGGAAACACTTTTTTTTTAGATCTTTACCTTGGCTTCTGCCATCTGTCCCTATTGAACAGCACAGAAACAAAATGAGAGAAGATGGTGCCACGAAGTGCATTTATATTTGCTGTCAGTCTTTCGTCCAAGTGACTCATTCTTCCTTCTGAAGTAAAGAACACTTTTTTGTTCATCTCTCTGCTTCTTTGTATGCCTGAATGTGGGCGTCAAACAACATGTATGGCTGAGCAGGCTGGCTCAGATATCAATGTTGGCTCTGCTTACGCTGAACAAAATGCAGTTTCACAGCTCTATATACCTTTTCCATCTCTAGGGCTCATTGTTTGCATTTTGCAAACAATATTTGTATATTGCTCTGAGCTCTTGGGGAAAAAAAAAAGGCAGAGCTTTGGAAGAAATAGTACCCATTGTTTAGCATAGCAAGCTGCAAGAGCGCATGGTAAGAAGCAATTCTCAACATATCTGAAGTGTGAAATAAATCGGAAAATATGTTCCTACTTACAACAGAAATTTCCGAGCTTGAAGCTGGTGGCTACCATTTCGTTGGGAAGTTACATTTCTGACACTAAATAAGAACCATAATTAATAATAAGCAACTGATAATATTTTGCATTCGTACAGAACCTTTCATCCAAGGCTCATCGTATTCTTTGTACACCTTAGTTAGTCACCACAACAGACTTGCGAGCCGAAGTAGTATTATGTCTAGAGGGTTAAACTGAAGCGCAGAGATATTCAATGGACCTGCCCAAGGCCAAGGGAATCTCTACCAAAGTGAAAAATTGAATCCAGGAGTTTTAACTTCCAGTCATCGCTCTATCCTCTAGGAAACACTAACTCCAGCAGTCTGAGAGCCCTGCCTAAGAATGACAAGTTTCCATGCTGCCTTGTTCATCACACCTGATAAATTTTAGTAACACGAGTATCTGGGGACATATTTGCAATACTAGCTTCCCTTTTTTAGTGTGAGCACAGGTCCTATTATTTAAATGCCGAAGACACTGATTTTTCCTCCCCGTGCTGTTCTTAAACATCTGAATAGTAGGATTTATGCCAGCAGTTAATTGTGGACACAAGTTTGATGGCACAATTAATTATAAGCACAAACATTTTCCTGCAAAAAGGGAGACCAAATCAGAGCCCCTTAAAAAAATCAGACCTGTAATATTTTAAATAAAACAAATGATGCTAAACAAGGATATGCGCTCATTTACAAAGATCAGTCGGGCTCCACAATCTTGGTGTCACAACGAAGTGTCACTTTTTAACAAGCAGCTTCTATAAGATGTATTTCACTCAGATTCATCATGAGTGACCTCTATAATGGTTTGTCATTTGTTCCCATTTTAAACTTTGAGTAACGGAGTTCACAAAAGTGAACCTGATGACATCAGGTAGAGCACCGCATAAGATTCCTTACACACCTTCGCAAGGAGCCTCAGTCTTAGCCTCCAGCCGCTCAGCTATTGCAACCTTGAGATTTAATCTGACTGATATGCACCATACTGTCAGATGATGGGCTGTGGACAAACATGCACTCTATCGACAAGAACAAGCCTTCCAAATTTATTTCCGTTTTAACCTTTTTGGTAAGATGTCTAGTTCTGTAGCTGGCACACAGAATCTAACCAATGAGACTCCGTAGGGCTGCATTTATAGTAATAGTGTATATTTTTGTTGCTATTACAAAGAACAGGCTGCATGTAGCAAGCACCTCAGAGATCCCAGTGGGTTGCGGGAGTAGCGTACTTACTTAGTGCTAAGTCTTTAAATTCTGGAAGACTGGCAGAGGCACACAGCTGATAGAAGATATGATAGTTTCGTTCATCATCTGCCTACAAAACAAAAACATGGAGTTACTTTACAGCCAATGACTTAAGGACAGTCAACAGTCTTCATTTTTCTGCCACTCACAGCAGGGTCTTCCATACCCCAAGGTTCATCCCAACCATTGCAACTTCACATAACTATGTGGTCAGCATGGCTCCCTAAAGGCAATTCAAGGGTCAATTTTAAGCAATACAAGCTTCTTTCCTTTCAAGGGCATGTTGCCTTCATGGCATTCTTAGGGACAGATTTACCAAGGCATTTAGGTGCCCAAAGATGCAGGTAGGTGCCTAAATCAGGTTCTTTTGTAACTCCTTCTAAGCACCTCTCTGCATCTTTGGGCACCTAAATAACCTTGTAAATGTGTCCCTTGGTCCCTACTAGCCCAACCGAGGGAGCAGGCAATCAGGAAACATTACTCTTCCGTGTAAAACAACAAACATATTACCTGTGTGAATGTAAAGCAGCTACACTGATTGTGGTAGTGTATATAATTAACAGTGAAAAAACATGAACACTTTTACTTTCACCTTACTATTAAACCAACAAACACTTTTAGATTTAGAGAGAAAGTGTTTGACAAGATTTAGCCAGCTCTCCTTAACGCACTGGGCAGCCGTCTTTACTTTGGATCACACCCACAGTACAAGAGCACTGCTACCCTGCTTATGCCACTTTACCACAGCCACTGTCACAGAACCTGCCAATTACTGGAATTTCTAGGTAAAGATAGATTGTTATGGGGGGGTGTGTGAAATGCTGTAAGGATATTGACTAATCTGCAGTTCATGAAGTCAAGTGTCAAAGTCTCTCAGAAGAGCTGCATGTCCAGGTGAGTTACAGCACACATCAAAAGCCTTGAAACTTTAAGGCTCAGCCAAGACTCTCCTCTATAGCAGAAACCTTGATGTTTAAGAATGAAGAGTGCCTGAACTAAGTGAAGGTTTCGTTAACTACAGGTAAAAATATTGATGCTTTGGGATGCTTCTTTAAATGCAAAACCTTCTTATTATTTGTGAATCATGCTTTGAGCCGTGAAAGCATGCTTGGCAACGTACAAATGATAGAAGACAGCAAATTCCCTGCCCTGGGCTCCAATTCAACAAAGCACAGAAGCACATGCTTAAGTGCTTTGCTGAACCAGATCCAGTCAACTAGCTAAGATATAGAAAGCACAGACTGAATGAACCTAATGATGCACCTACTTATACATAAAACAAATGCGTATCTCATATGATCCTGACTATCCTCACTACACACACACACACACACACACACACACACACACACACAC